GTTTAAAGAGCTTTTAGATAGCTTTAAATATCTCTTAAGTAAATAGGTATATAATAAAAAAGTTATTATAGATAGAAGACTTAATAAAGTTAGAGTAAGATAAGTTATCTATAATAACTTTTAAGATAAGGATAATAAGATAGTTTATACTACTATTACTAATCTTATTACTCTATAAGTCTTTTTACTAATTATAGTACTTAAAGATCTAAAACTTTACTAAGTTAATATAGTTATAGCTTTCTTAAATACTTTTATAAGAGATTAAGATATCTTTATTACTTAACTTTATAGGTTTAATAATAGATCTAGCTAGTTCTATAAATTAAAAAGAGCTCTTTATAGACTAAGAGAATCTCCTCTTCTTTAATATAAATAAATTATTATTATCTTTAAATAATTAAGGTTTTATTTACTACTAAAAGAACTTTATATTCTTATTAATAAGGATAGTGTTATAATATTACTTTATATTAATAATATACTTATTATAATACTTAATATTAAGTAAGTTAATAATTTTAAAGATAACTTATATAACTTTTTTTAGATTAAGGATTTAGGTGAGGTATAATAATTCCTTAGGTTTAAGATTATTTACTACTATAAGATAAGATAACTTTAGATCTTATAAGCTAAGTATATTAATAATATACTAATAGAGAAAAATATTATTAGATATAACTAAGTGCTCTACTATTTTAGCGATATTTAGCTACTAGAGATTATAAAATAATATAAAATGCTTATTAAGATATATAAATATTAAAGCGATTTAGGTAAGTTATAGTAAATTATAAATAGTATATAACTAGATATTATAACGCCTATAAGTAGGGTTACTAGAGATTAATAATATACCTCTAAAAAGTATAATAAACTGCTGAGATTAATATAGAGATATTTTTATAGTTTATAATAATTAGCATTCTACTTTAGTAGTTTAGGATACTCTATTAATAACCTTAAATTATTAGTATTCTATAATATTAGCTAGTCTAATTATAAAAAAATAGGTAAGTTAATAGCTAGTTATATAGTTATATATAAAGGAGCACTAATTACTTAGAAATTAGTATTATAATTATTTATAGCTATATTAACTTATAAAGCTAAGTAGATAAATTTAATACCTAGAGGGAAGGCTCTACTATATATTATAGATCTCTTTAAAAGGATAAATATTTCTATTTAATTACCCCTCTAGGTGTATATAGATTTTATAAATACTTTTAATAATTATCTATTAAGTAAATAGTTACTTAAACTGCACTATATTAAAATTAAGTATTATTAGATTATTAATAATATTAGTAATAAGGATTTTAAGATTAATTATATCCTAATTTATAAGATAGTTATTAATAGTTTTATTAAACTATTAGTAGTAGAGAAGTATTATAACTTTATTAGAATATTAGGTTTATTTAAACTACTTATAACTAATAATAAATCTTAATCTAAGGATAATATCTTAAGATTTAATCTTAATTAAGTTCTTTCTATTTATTTATTTCTTTTATATATAATAACTTTATTCCTTTATATTTTACTAACTAATTAACTTTTATAGTTAAACTTTATATTATTTTAATTACTTTAATTTACTCTATTTAATAGTTAAATTACTAACTATAAAAGTCTTCTATATAAGAAGTTATTTAATAATAAAGGCTTAGAAGGTAATTAAAGATTTTAATTTTACTAAGTTATAAGTTTATTACTAAGTTAGATATTTTAGTTAGTATTTCTCTAAGTTATAACTATATTAAGTTTAATTAATAAAAGTTAGTTAATTTTAGATTTAGATAAAATTAATATAAGTTTAAAGTTTAAAAGAGTAAAAGATTAATTAATTAGGTTTTAAAAGTATTATAAGAAAATTAATCTTTAAAGTAATATTAATTAAGAACTATTATATTTAATACTTAACCTAATATAATTAATAGATTAGAAAAGAGGTATTATAAAGTTAATTAATAACTTAAGGATTACTACTTTTAGAGAGAGAGAGCTATTTAGAATATAAGATCTAAGATTAAACTAGAGAGGATAGTTTTTAGATTTATCTAAATTAAAAGTTAACTCTATAAAGGGGAATTAAATAGTAAACTTCTAAGTTATTAATTTAAAAGTTTAACTAGATATTAAAAGTAGAAAATAATACTAATTATATTAAGTAGCTATTTAATTATCTTTATAGAGATAACTTAGGTAGTAATATTAATATTAATTAGCTATATAAAAGCTAGAGAGAGTTAAGAAGTATTTTAAAATTAAAATAAAATAATAATAGTAATATAAAAAAATAGGAATAATATATAGAGGTAAGAATAATATAAAACTAATATATAATTAATTAGATTACTACTTTAGGATAGGAATAGCTTTAATTATAGCGCTAGAAGTGTTAGCTAAAAGGGGGGTGTGAGATAGTAGTTAGCTAGGCTTAGGCCTAAGGCTTAAAACCTAGCCTGAATCCCGCCTTTACGTAAGGGATCGGCCACACCACTTTGTAGCTAGTTACGCCTAGCGCTCGTAGCTAGATTAATTAAGCCACTTCACGCATAAGTGTACGTAAGTAGGTGCCTAGGTGATGGGGTGAGGTGGGGCCGGAAATTCGGAGTGACATATCCGTGGACCCGACCTGTAGAAGTCCGAACTGCTAACCTTACCGCCTTGGATTATATAATCCCACACGTGCCAGGCAAGGTAAAAGGTAAAAGGTAGTCAAGACAAGGTACGTAATTGCACGTGCCCACTCAGCCTCCAACATTGGAGCCGCGTTGCCTTCGACGAGTCGCTGCCAGCGCCAGTCGTGAACCGTCTACCCATCCAAGCTCGCACCATTCGAAGTACGTGAGCATTACAATCAGCAGCAACAACACCACACTACGATCACCTCGCCGTCTCCTCTCACTCAATTGAACTCAGACCTACGATCGATTGTTCACACCCCAACGGAAAGGCGCCATGGGTGCTTTGCTTTCTCTGCCGCTGATGGCGGTGCCAAGCATGGGCACGGTAGGTTAAGTTCCCATCTCGCCTGGCTCACAAGCCCAGCTATGTGACTGTCTGTCGTGCAAAAGGCTCCTTACGACTAACGCTCATCAGGTCATCGGCTTTGCTGCCAGTTGCTGTGGCGCGGCTACGTGTTCTGCCGTGTGCAGCGCATGCGGGAAATGCGGCAATAGGTATGTTCCAACAACACCGCGAGAGACAATGCGGAGCTAACTGCCATGAACAGTGTAGCTACTCGTATCGGCTACGCTCTTATACTCCTCGTCAATTCGATTCTCTCCTGGATAATGCTCACGCCATGGGCGATAAAAAAGCTGGAACATTTGATGCTTGACTATGTCAAAATCGGTTGTCCCACCGGCAACTGCTACGGCTGGATGGCCGTTCATCGATTCAACTTTGCTCTTGGCCTCTTCCACCTCATCTTCGCCGGTCTCCTCTTCGGTGTGAGCTCTTCCAAGAACCCGCGCGCTGCCATTCAGAACGGATACTGGGGACCAAAGATCATCGCATGGCTCGCTCTGATAGTCCTCTCATTCCTGATTCCCGACGAGTTCTTCCAATTTTGGGGCTCATACATTGCTCAGGTGGGCGGCATGTTGTTCCTCATCCTTGGTCTTATTCTGCTGGTGGATCTTGCCCACAATTGGGCAGAGTACTGCCTGGAGCAAATTGAAGAAACCGACTCCAAGGTGTGGCGCACGGTACTCATCGGCTCTACGTTGGGAATGTACTTGGCTTCGCTTGCCATGACCATTGTCCAGTATATCTTTTTTGCCAAGGATGGTTGTGCCATGAACCAGGCTGCCATCACCATCAACCTCTTGCTCTGGGTTGGAATTTCCTTTATCTCGGTTCATCCCACCGTTCAGGAGTACAATCCCAAGGCTGGGCTCGCTCAGGGGGCAATGGTCGCCGTCTACTGCACATACCTGACAATGTCAGCTGTCTCCATGGAGCCTGATGACAGACAGTGCAACCCTCTGATACGGGCTCAGGGTACTCGAACAACTTCGATTGTCATTGGTGCCATAGTCACTATGCTCACAGTGGCATACACGACTACTCGGGCTGCTACGCAAAGTCTCGGTTTGGGCTCTGCGGGCGGCATTCGGCTTCCCGAGGAAGATGAGCATGATCTTGTGACGCAGCAACCTAACGCACACAAGCAAATGCGGGCAGAGGCTCTTCGCAGGGCAGTTGAGGAGGGTAGCTTGCCAGCCGATGCCCTACTCTCTGACGACGAGAGCGAGACCGGGAACCATACCCCGGGTGATGACGAGCGCACCAGGACTCAATACAACTACAGCGTCTTCCATATTATTTTCTTCCTGGCCACGACCTGGATTGCTACTTTGCTTACTCAGAGCTGGGATGACCACAACGATGGTAACTTTGCACCTGTCGGCCGATCTTACTGGGCAAGCTGGGTGAAGATTGTGAGCGCTTGGGTATGCTACGCGATGTACGCTTGGACCTTGGTTGCGCCTGTGGTTTTGCCAGACCGCTTCGATTTCTCCTAATCGTCATTTTCTTGCATCAAGAGCCTACAGAGGCTCCACGTGGGGGCCGGAGTTAGCTAGTCGCATTGTGCCACATCTTGCCAGGCGGTTCGTTTGAGCGTTAGACTAGTACGGCATATCGGTGTGAATTGAATGTTCTGATCTGTTACTGTCACATTAATTTCTGTATACTTCAAGCGTGCAATATTTTGTCCATATGGAGTTCCGGCAGTCCGAATTGAAACTTGCATTTCCTGATCGGGATCAAATTTGTACCTCGAATCACCCAATTGGAAAGGCTAGGACAACGAGTCAAACATCAACAATAATCTATATTTACTTTGTTTTCCACGGTCATCAAGCTCCACTGTTTCTTCATGCCAATCCAGCTGCGTCGAACAAAACCCTAGCATGAAATGCAATGGAATTTCTTCCATTCATCGCCCGCGAAGCGGCTGGGAAGTTCCCACTCGGGTATCATACCGAGGTCTCTCCAGCTTGCCGGACGGACGATGTGGCATGGAAGCCGTCAAGGGTTACATTAACAGCTCCTGCCTGAACAAGCTAATGATGTTGTCAACACTCCTGGCCAGCCAGGTCATACCGATCGATTACTTACAGCTCTTGAGAGATCCTCAATGAGGTCAGTGACGTCTTCAATTCCAACGCACAGTCGAATGAGATCTTCCGGCATCTGCCGCTCCTTGCGAGTCTTAGCATCAATGCTGGCGTGGCTCATCTGGCATGGCATGCTGATCAAACTATTGACACAACCGAAACTGACACTGATGCTGTACAGTTTGGCAGCTTCAACAATCCTCTCTGACAGAGCGGCATCGCCCGTCTCGAAAGACAAAACGGCACCAGCACCACGCGCCATGGACCAGTGAAGCTCATACTGGGGATGAGACTTGAGTCCGGGGTAGCGGACCTTGAAGCCATGAGACTCGAGGAACTCTGCGATTTGCTGAGCATTGGTTTGCTGCTTCTCCATGCGGATAGCCAAGGTTTTGATGCCTCTCATGAGCAAGAACGAGTCGTTGGGCGAGAGGCCACAGCCGGTGGAGTTGATGGTGAAGTACAGTTTATCTCCGATGGATGAGTCGTTCACACCAATGACTCCAGCCATGATATCGTGATGACCCGACAAATATTTGGTGCCCGACTCGTAAACAATATCGGCGCCAATATCCAGCGGGTTCAGAAGCATGGGAGAGAGCATGGTGTTGTCAACGACGACCAGAGCTTTCTCGTTGGCATCGTGAACCAGTTTAGCAATGGACGGAATGTCAACAATCTTGATAAGAGGGTTCGTCGGCGTCTCGAGAAGAACCATGGCCGTCTTGTCAGAGATGACCTGTCGGACAGAGTCGACGTGGGTAGTATCGACGTGGTGCACGACGATGCCCTGATTCGAAGAAAGATATGTAAGAAGTCGGTTGGTACCTCCGTACAGATCATCTCCCGTAATGACTTCGTCGCCCGGGCGCAGCAGGCGGCTGATAACGTCCAAGGCGCCCATGCCGGAGCCAACGGCGAGAGCTCTTGTCGCATTCATGATCTTGGCCAAATGGCGCTCCAAGTGAGTGCGCGTCGGGTTGCCCGAGCGCGTGTAGTCGTACTCACCTCCACCAGTAGCACTCGACTGCTTGAATGTTGCAGACTGGTAGATGGGAACGCTGGAAGCGCCATACTGATCATTGCTCTCGGTATAGACCAGCTCTGTGGCGAGGGCATAGCGGCGACGGCCGTTGCGGGGGCTGGAGGGCGCAGGAGACGGGGGAAGGTCGTGTCCGTCAAGGTCAACCCGCTTGAGCGGGTTGCTGGACTTTTCGACAGATCCGTTGTTCGGCGGTGTGGCCATGGTGAGACTTGTGGCAATGGCGGGGTAATGGTGCAGGCAGAGGGGAAGCCGACTGATCTATCAAACAACAGGTCGGCTTCGGGATTTGAGTGAGGTTCTGATAGAGAGACTGATGGAACAGACGAGTGCTGACGGATCAGTGCCTGTGTACAGCAGCGATTGATCCTTCAATTGGACGGGCGATGGCGTAAGTAGTGATGAGACCGAAGGTCCGGAGGGCCGGGAAATCGAGTACTCTACCGCTGGTCTCGTAATGAGCCAGACTTCTCGCCGCGGACAGACTGAATTGCTCAGCAAATCAATTGTCCTACGCAGCACCGGCGTACTCGAGTAAAGCAGGTGATTGCTGGAGAGAGGGTGAGTCGACGATTGGCGAAGTGTGTAGGAGAAGTTTTACAAAAGGGGACCTGGGCACAGCGCAATTAGGTATGACTCCAGCGTTCCGCAGCGCAGTACAGGCCCCGTCTTTGATATTATGGGGCCCCACGAATGACGTGATTTGTCGGTGTGCTCAACGTCCCCCGAACGTCGGCGATAGCGGGGCGACATTGAGATGCGGAGTGGCCAATGCGCGTCTTTACATTGGTGGTTAGCAGACTGCGTGAGAGCACGGTATCTTCCGCGGCGCCGATGCCAGGGCCGAAGAAGCTGCTCCCGTCCGGTCCAGCCTGCTATCTGAGAAGTCGAACACTTGTTGGGTTGCCCCAGTACACCGGGGCAATGGCGTCTTAGGTGCGACTTGAACAGCGCGAATCACTCATCGACCGTGATGTTGAGTCCCGAACTTATCAGCACAAGAATCAAGCCATGTAGCTCATGACCTTCCATTGCCCCAGTGTCTTTCCGCACACCGAGTATTTGTACAAGTCGCCCCTCAAAAGGTCGACGTCTGACCCTTTCTTTCCAAGGTAGGGGTTGACACCCGCCAAGCTCGCAGTCATCTTTATGTTTATCCTGTAGCGTGTATTTCCGCCGAAGGTTCTCGGCATGCCTCTGAGTCGCGTGCACATGGTAAAAGAATATGGAAGAATTAAAACAACGGCTCCGGACCGATTTGTTTGCCTAGCCCAACTCCTCAACCATGTCTTCATACTCATCTGCCGATGCCCCTGACGCCTTCGCTGATTGTTTCGCATGGTTTTCCATCAAGATCTGGCCACCTCCTTTTCGGCCGAAGAAATCCTCTGTCCGAATTCCGCGAATGTGCTCGGGCGTGATGCTGGACATTGGGTTGCCGCTTGCCCGGTGCTCCTTCATATACTCACGAACAGGCGCCATGGCCGCGTCGCGACACGCCTCTTTGATATCGCTGCCAGACATGCCAGCCGTAACTTTGGCAATGTACTCCAAGTTGAAGCTGTCAGGGTCGGTCTTCGTGTCCTGTAGGATAAGTTGCAGAATTCGCCGTCTCTGCTCCTTTCCGGGAAGAGACACGGGAAACTTCTTAGGCATACGCCTAAGAATAGCCTCGTCGATGTCGTGAATTCTGTTGGTGGCACCAAGGACGACGATTCGCGCCGGCATGCCTGAAGAGTTAGAGGACGTCAAACCGTCCCACAAAGTCATGAATCTGATAATCGTCAGTCATCTGGGACAGAAGAAGCTGTCGACATCGTCCACTTACTCTGCCTTCACCATCCCGCTTGCTTCATGCTCGCCACTTCTCCTAGTGCCGAGAACTGCATCAATCTCATCAATGAAAATGATGGCCGGTTGCATCTTGCGCGCGAGAGAAAACACGGCTCGAACCAACTTGTTTGAATCGCCATACCACTTCTCCGTCACTGTCGAGATATGAAGGTTGATGAATGAGGCACCGCTCTCGTGAGCAACTGCCTTGGCGAGCATAGTCTTGCCGCAACCAGGTGGGCCGTACAGGAGAACTCCGGATGGTGCAGATAGAAGCGGTGCAGCATGAGAGTACAGATGAGGCATAGTCAGGGGATAGATGACAGACTCTTTGAGCTCGTCGATGATGTCTTCCAGACCACCAATATCTGTGGCAGGGTCAGTATGTCTGTAAGCATATTTGGCCGTAAGAGGGTGATTGCTAACCAGAAAAGCCAACCGAGATATCCTCGGGGGCCACCATCTCCAAAGCTATCAGGTTTTCATACTCGTTGAGCACCAAGTCCTCTGGCTTGGGACCACGTCGAGACACGCTGCCGTCGTCCCCTGTGTCGTCGCCCGACTTCCCGATGGTTTTTCCCTTGCGTAACCGCTCGAGGTGAGCTTTGGCTTGCAGACGCGCCTGTTCATGTTTTTCTCGATCGGGATCGGCAAGAGTACTCGTAAGGGACGAAAGAAAGTTACGGGCTAGGTACACTCCTGTTGCCATCTGGAGGTCGTCGTCGTCGTCAGTATTCTTTGAACTGTCGCCCAGCAACAGCATGACTTACCATGCCAGCCACCAACAGCAAGTCGAGGGCAAAATCGCCCAAACCTCTCTTTCGCTCACCCATGCCGAGGAGCTTTCCAACGGAACCAATCCAGCGATCCAGGTCGCTCGTCATGAGGGTTGGCGTCGCGACCAAAGCGATGCAGTCAATTCGGTCGAGTATACGCTGTTCAATGCCGATGGAATCCTTTCAAAGATGCAATCCTTTCAAAACTGAATTGCCGCTTTTGTTCTGCTGGTATGACAGGGCTCAGTTCAAAGTCTTAGCACAGCCCTGGGCGTAAACGTGTCTGTCGATGATATTTCATCCGAGAGCATCTAAATCAAAGACGTAGGCAGAGCGTGGCGCTGACAGCCGAGTAGACGCCGCGGTTCCTCGAGCAAAAAGTCAAGCCACATGCCGGCTAAGGAACCCAGACGCCGGCACACCTTTGTGGAGCGCCCATCAGGGCCGGTACGACTGACAGCACGTCCACCGCCACGGCACGCTTAGCACACCTTAGGTACCTAAGGCACCTAGGTAAGGTGGGTGCCCAAGTCCCAGAGGGAAAGTACATACCTACGTGCACTCGATAGGAAGGTGCCGATAGGCTTATCGATAGGCCTCAAGTGGCCCTGGCTTTCTTCCTATCCTACCTAGCACCGGTACCTTAGATACCCAGTAAGGCGGGTAAGGTACCGCGCCAGTGGCCGTTTGTTTACTTTTCAATGCCCGCAAAACACAAATGTAAAGCGGCAGCAGGTGAGTGGGTAGCCAACAAAAGGTGCCCGAGCAAGGACCTTCCCCCCACGCTGGCTACCTACAGCTTGTTCGCGACTAGGCCTGAATTTCCGCAACCTATCCTACACAACGCATGCGACGACCTTTTTTCTTCCACCAAATACTTGCGGCTTCGCAATCACTAGCAATTCCTGTGCCTCCAGTGCCTCCATTGCCCCCGAATCCGTTTGTCTCCTTCTCACGCGGGCAAGCGACTAAAACCGTGCAAAGCAAGACTCAATCGCGGTGCGGATGTCGCGAGCTGCTCAACAAGCTAGGTTGTTGGCCTTGGTGGATTCGGACTCGGACGAGCTCTCCGGCTTGAGCGCACAGCAGGTCAAGAAGAACGAAGATTCGAAGGCCAAACCCATGGCGCCAGCGAAGAAACCCCGCGGAAGACCTGCGGCGAACAAGGTCACGAAGCCAGCGCAGAAGGCTACGCGTCGTCCCAATGATAAGTTAACGGCCGCCGCTGCTGCCGCTGAGGCTGGGGATGTTGTCGATAATCCGAAGGCTTCAAAGAGGGGGCGTAAGGCCAGGCCTAAGGACGACGATGATGCCACAGCCGACGCCGAGGAAGAACACGTGGTTCCCTCAACGAAGCCCACCGCGAAGACAAGGGGTCGACCAAAGGCAACAGATGCCTTGGTGAAAGAAGACGAAAATGAAGAGGCGCCTGAATCCACTGCCCAACTGATCAAGCGCGGGCGCCGTGCAGGGACCAAATCGACTCGCAACGAAGACTCTGAAATCCCAGAAACCCAGCCAGCAGAGGCTATGGATATTGACACAGAAGAAGAGGAGGAAGAAGACGAACAGTTTGAGGATCTGCCTGCGCCAAAACAGTCTATTCAGCGCGCTGCCCGGATGGCTGGCAATGCAGACGGAGACGGCGGAGACCCGCAAATACGGAGACGACTGGGCGAGGCGAACAGGAAATACGAAAGCCTGGAGCTGAAATACCGTGATTTGCGAGACATCGGGATCAAGGCGGCTGAGCGCAACTTTGATAACTTGAAAAAGGAGAGCGAAGAACGGGCGAACAGTAAGTTTCAAAGAATATCTACGAAGGAGCTCGTCGCTGATGGTATCAAGCTGCAACGGAACTTATAGGCAACTTGAAGGCGGATCTTGCGGCTCAAAGGGCTTTGGTCAAGGAGGGACAGCAAGATAGGAAGAAGCTCGAAGGACTAGAGGCCAAAGTCGCGGAGTTGACAGCGTCTCTCTCTGAAGCGAGGCAAGAGGTCAAGACTCTGTCAACGAAACTGGCGGCTAGCAGATCGGCAGAGGCTGCTGCCACGGCGGCCACTGCCAAGGTACCAGGAAGTGCAATCAAAGGCGGGACCGCAGCGGCTCGGGCTATCGCTACGGCTAGTTCGGATGCGGTGCAAACAGCGCAAATGAAGGAGGACCTCTATGGTGACCTAACTGGATTGATTGTGCGGGTGGTCAAGCGTGGCTCGACAGGCCAAGTCTTCGACTGCATACAGACAGGAAGAAATGGAAGTGAGTACTCATCAAGACTTGAAGCTCTTGTGCGATTCCGCATAGAAGCTAACATCTCTCCAGCTCTTCACTTCAAGCTCGAGGTCGAGACCGAGAGTTCAGGCGATAATTACGAGGAAGCGCATTTTACGTACAAACCTCAGCTGGATTCGAATCGCGACCGTGACCTCATAGACCTGTTGCCCGACTTCCTGGTGGAGGAGATTGAATTTTCTCGACCGCACGCGGCAAAATTCTACTCGAGAGTGACGAAGTCGTTGATGGAGTAGACCAATGGAGGCTACGGAGAGAGAGAGAGAGAGAGCAGTCTTGCGCAGGATTCTATCGGGTTTCCCAGAGTTGATAACAAGGACGAGACGCATTTGGAATTGGTCGATACCCCCTGAAGAACTGTTTTGATTTTCTCGACTGCCTGGGTAGATACGAGTTGCGTCGTTGAACCATTGGAGGTAGCAAGCGTCGTGGAAATGCTAGGTCTCTCAAAATGCACATCATCGCCTACCATGCATGAGGTAATTACAATTGGAGCACAAATGCCGAAGGCTAGATCACTTACCCGGGTTGCCAGGCTGACTTGGCTGGGTCTGCTTCATATTGGGAAGAGAAGGGGAGACGACGGGAGAACGCCGACAAGGACGTTCCTAGAGAGCCGCATGGCACCTTGATGTCTGGACCAATTCGTGTAAAGGCGTCGTTGGATAGGTACTTCGGGTGCTGGCCGTAAGGTAGGTGGCTAACCTTTCCTTAAGGTATAGATACAGTAAGTAGCTAAGGGTCTGATCGGTATAATTTTCGTGTTTTAGAGACTCTGCCAAGGGCTACTTCGCTAGCGCTATATATAGCATATATATCGTACTAGGTTACTATTAGCTTAGATTATTACTACGATATAAATAGTGAATATCTTACTAACTCCTTAATACTTCTAAGAAGCTAAGATTATTTAAAAATAGCTCTAGCTTACTTAAATATATTATTTTTAATATTAAAAACCTCTATCTTTTATTATACTAATTATTTATTTTATAATTTACTTTATATTTAAAATAGTAGTTAATAGATAATACCTTAATAAAACCTTACTTAGTATATAAATAAAAGAAATAATCCTAAATAAGATTAAAGTTACTATATTATTAAGTAACTCTAAGGAAGACTAAAGCCTCTTATTAATACTACTCCTACTTTTAGTAAATTAACTAATAATATTTAAACTTTACTAAAAGTTTATAATATAGTAGAGGTTACTTTAGTTTATTCTTAATACTAAAATTAAAAGTTTACTAAATAATAATAATAAAATATATATATTAAGCTATATACTTACCTCTATTATACCTATTTTATAGAAAGAGTTCTTTAGAGACCCCTTTATAATTAAAAACCTATTAATAAAGTTCTAAAATATTAATACTTTATACTATAAAGTTAAAACACTAAGAGACCTATCTAGTATTAGCTATAATAACTATATAAATATAATATTAATATTAAAAGAGAGATAGTTATAATAATATTAAGTTAACTTTAAGTATAAGTAAGTAGAGGATTATAACTTCTTTAAGATAAAGTTATTAATAGTATACTTATAGCCCTCTAAGATTACTATAAGCTAGAATATTACTAAACTTAATCTTAGAGGTTAGTTAGTATACTAATTAAGATTTTTTAAAGAGGAAATAAAGTCTCTAATAAAGTAGTTAGCTTTATTACTACTTAATATAAATAGCTTACCTCTCTTATAAGCTATAATAATATTAAGAATAGCTAATCTTATAGTAGTATAAATACTAACTATTACTTTAACTTAAAAGTATAAATATATAATATAATAGTAAGATCCTAATTAAATTAACACTACTAATATAGCTATCTTAGAAGTAATATTTCTAAAAGAAAATTTAATAGCCTTACTACTAGTATATTAAAATAAGCACCCTTATATTAAAGTAGTAGAGACCTAAAGTTATAAGTTATAGAGGATAAATATTAATAAATTAGCGCTATATATAGTAGGAGTAAATAATATAAAGCTAGTAGTAGCTAATATTTAATAGCTATTTAAAGTTAAGGCTAAGTTAAAAAGCTTTACCTTTATATTAAACCTCTTTTTAATAGTATTAAGTAAAGCAGTTAAGTTTCTAATATTAGAGGAAAAAGAGTTAAAATAGGAGTTTTTATTAATTAATAGTATATAGATATTAGTATTATTACTACTACTACTATAGTATTAATATAGTTATAGAGGGTTAATATAGTTATAGTAAGTAGTTAATAAGTTAAAAAAATAAAACCTAATAGATAAACTAGAGAAGTAATAAAAAGGTCTTTTTTTAGCCTCAGTTAAAGTAGTGTTTTTTAAATAGATTACTACTTAAATTAATATAATATAAATTTAGCTTATTAATTACTAAAGACTTATCCTTATAAAATATTAATAATAAAACTCCTACTATAATATAGTAATATTAAACTATACCTTAAACCTTAGTTATTAACTTATTTATATTATTACTTTTACTTTAGCTTTCTTAAGTATATTAATCTTTTATAATATTAACTTTCTTAGTACCTCCTCTTTTTTTACTAGAAAATTCTATAATACTATTACTATATATACTAACTTTACTTAGATACTAAAGTTATACTTATATATTATACCTCTTATAATCTTAAACTTCCTCTTTAATAACTTAAAGATATATTTAATAATACTATAAAGCTTTATATAGCTAAGATTATATAACTCCTTCTTTATCTATAACTACTACTAAAAATTAAAGTAGTTATATAAATAATATTACTTACTAATAAATAGAGTAATAACTTTTAAATACCTCTTACTAAAGCTTATATTATTTAAGTAAAATCTACTTAGTAGTAGAGTAAATAACCTCACTAAAGCATATAAAAGTAGGAATTTATTATTTATACTACCCTCTATACTAATAAGTATATATATAAAGGTATAGTTAAATCTTACTACTATAAAAATATTCTATAAAAGATTCCCTTTCCTATTAAAAAACTAATATTACTAACTCTAAAGTATATAAGTAGATAAAAAAGTACTATTAATTACTCTTATATAGCTATTAAATACTTAATTTTTTAGCTCTAACTTAATTTTTATTAAGATATTATCTTCTATTAGTTAAACTACTACTTCTTTATATAGCTCTATAAGTATATTAAGTATAATATAGAAAATACTTAATATTATACTCTAAGTAACTTTAAAGTAATAAGAAGTATTCCTCTAAAACTCTCTAAAGCTTATAATATATAAAAAGATTATTAATTTATATTTTACGCTTTAAAACTTTAAGTTTTTAATATTATAAAGTTAAAGCTATAAAGTTAGTATAAAGAAGGTTAACTTTAATATATAAAAAGTATTAATAAACTTTATATTTAACCCTATTAATAGCCCCTCTATAATCTAAGTTATTACTAGAAAGCTACTTAAGTAGATTAATATCTTATTAAAAATAGTAAAGGTTTTATTATTAAAGTTATTATTATTAAAATTATTATTAATATACTTTTTAAAAATAATTAATAAAACTATAATAAGCTACTATTCCTTATTATTATTATTAAACGCTTATTTAAAAGTATTAAAAATATCTATATTAATAATTACTTCTTTTAATAATTAAGTTAATAAATAGTATACTTTATTAATATATTAATATATTACTATATAAATATCTTAGGCTAGAAGAAGCCCTTAGCTAAGCTCTCTCTAGCTATATATAGTATTACTATATTATTAAAAACTAATATTTTTATATAATAATAATCCTAATATTATTAGATTTATACCTTAGAATCCTTAGTAACTAAGCTTCTCTAAGTAAGCTTATTATTAATCTTATTACTTAATAGCTAAATTTTAATCTAATATAATAGCTTAGAGGATTAATAACCCTAGAAACCTTTATTAAGCCTAGTTTTAACTTATATAGACCTAATATAGTAAAGTAGCCTCAAAAACACTATTTTTTATTATTTTATACTAACTGTAGCAGTAGTAAGCCAGGGTCAGGAATCATACCGATCACACCCTAAATAACGGCTAAGGCAATATATACTAGGTACATATCCTTGTACCCAAGCTGCCTAGCCGCAGGTCCGGTGTGTCCCGCGCCAGCTCGTGGGGTTCTCGGCACGGGCAGGGATGGACTTTGGTACCACTACTTGTGATGCCCTATGGAAAGCCCGGCATTTGACTGAGACGCCACGTACAGCTACCAGTCTCAGCCCCCATCAGCGTCCTGGACCCCTGTACACTTCTTTGCCGCAACTCCAAAATTGGTTGTACCCGAGAGGTTGAAGACGTGTCGCGACCAGCAATAATTTCCGCGTAGATGCAACGAGTGGGACTGATTGTGGTTTCCAGCATCCCTCCCCTGGGCGAGTCCTTTCACTCCCACAGCTGCGCATCTCGTCATCAGCAACATAGGCAAGGGCCATGCGCAAGCTGTGAGTTGAATGCGCCCACCCTCTCTTTGCAGCTCTCGTCCTCCAGTCTTCTGGTCTGTGAAGTGACGCTTCCCGACTGTCTTCTTTAACTCGACTAGGCCTGAAAGCATCCGCCATTGTCATCATCAACCCTTGATACTAGGTGTCATCTCTCGCTGTGAGACGGGCTGACGACGAGGGGAACGACTTCAGCCGATTCCACCGTTCCGCCGCCTTCTTCAACATGGCTGTCTTTTCTCGCGCCGGCTTCCTTGCCGTCGCGCTCGTCTTCCACGTCGTGTACATCTACTCCATCTTCGACATTTACTTTGTCAGTCCAATCGTTTCGGGCATGCAACTCGTTCCAATTGAACGTCCCGCCGGTGTCAAACCCCCCGCTGATCGCCTTGTTCTCTTCGTCGGTATGCACCCATTCAATCCAGGTCTAGCTTGACCCGACTTCTCTGACTGAGAAATGCAGGAGACGGTCTGCGAGCCGACAAAGCCTTCCAGTCGTTCCCCGACCCCTACCCTAAGACTGAGGAAGACCTGGAGCCAAAGCCTCTGGCCCCATTCCTACGATCCCGCGTTCTCGAGCATGGCACTTTCGGTGTATCACACACGCGCGTACCGACCGAATCTCGTCCAGGCCATGTCGCCCTCATCGCTGGTCTGTACGAGGATGTCTCCGCTGTTGCGACTGGCTGGAAGCTCAATCCAGTCAACTTTGACAGTGTTTTCAACCGGAGCAGACATACCTGGAGCTGGGGCTCACCCGACATCCTCCCAATGTTCGAGACGGGAGCCGTCCCTGGCCGCGTCGACTCCTATACCTACGGACATGAGTTCGAGGACTTCAGCTCGGATGCGCTGGAGCTAGACTACTGGGTCTTTGATCATGTCAAGGACTTCTTTGCCGAGGCTGCTAGAAACGAAACATTGAACGCGGCCTTGCGTCAAGACAAGATTGTGTTCTTTCTCCATCTTCTCGGCTTGGATACCTCCGGCCACTCATACCGGCCGTATTCGAAGGAGTACTTAAGAAACATCCAAGTTGTCGACCAAGGCGTTAAGGAAATCACCGAATTGATAGAGGGTTTCTACGCTGACGACCGCACTGCCTTCGTGTTCACAGCTGACCACGGCATGAGTGATTGGGGCAGCCATGGCGATGGCCATCCGAACAACACGCGTACCCCCTTAATCACATGGGGCTCGGGCATTGCCCCACCGGTGCTTGCTTCCAACGCAACAGCCCCCGGACATGACGAATATTCTTCTGACTGGCATTTGGATCATGTCAAGAGGCACGACGTCGCACAGGCCGATGTAGCTGCCTTGATGGCCTATCTTGTTGGCGTCGAGTTCCCAGCCAATTCGGTCGGCGAGATACCACTGTCCTATGTCTCCTCAAGCATCGAGGATAAGGCTGAAGCAGCTCTGGTCAATGCTCGGGAGATCCTCGAGATGTACCGGGTCAAGGAAGAGCGCAAGAAGGCCACGGAGCTGCGTTATAGGCCATTCCACCCCTTAAGTGAGGCAGGCCTTAGTCCACAGCGCCGAGTGGCGGACATACGTCGATTGATTGAAGCTGGGAACCACGAGGAGGCAATTGAGGAGTCGGCTGCCCTCATGAAGATTGCACTTGAAGGTCTAAGATATCTGCAGACTTATGACTGGCTTTTTCTCCGTACGCTCATCACTATCGGCTACTTGGGCTGGATGGCATTCGCGATGACCATCGTCATTGATCTTCATGTTCTGCGTGGCAATCGCCCTGCTTCACGAACATTGCTGAGCACGACGATGTTCAGCTCACTTCTTGCTGCTCTTTATGCTTCCTTCATTATATCTCACTCACCGCTTACGTACTATGCGTACGCTTTCTTCCCCATTGTTTTCTGGGAGGAGGTCTGGGCCCGACGTGGCTCTCTCGTAAAAGGCCGTCAGGTCCTGTTTGGACATATCCAGACTGGCCCCAGTGCTGTTTCTTTTCTCCTGAATGGTGCTCTTTACATCGGTGTCATCGTTTCGTTGGTAAGCAAGCTTCACACCAGCTAATTAAGAAAAATACTGACGGCTGGCAGGCTCTAGGATACATCCATCGGGAGATTCTCACGGTCATCTACATTCTCGGCTCGTTGTGGCCGGTTACATGGGGCTTGGACTTCCTCCAGGCTAATGCGTTTTTGTCTGCCACATGGTTCATGTCATGCCTTGCCATGAGCACATTCACGTTGCTCCCGGCTATGAAGGTGGAGGATGTCTCTCTCATGTATGTTTTCAAATCCAACCCGAGAATGAACATCGTCCACTGACTTGTTGGCAGCGTGGCAGGAGGAGTCATCATGGCTTCCATAGGTCTAGCATATCTTGTCTGGGAGGACGTGTTGCTTGCTAGGTCGTCTACGGGAAAAGTAGTCGGCCAAGCGCTGCCAATCGCGAGGGCACTGACAGGTATTCAAGTAAGCTTATTTCCCCGACTATATATCGATCTCAATCTCACGAGGGACAACCAGGTCGGCTTGATTCTCCTAGCAATCGTAGTCACGCGGTCCAGCGCTCTGTCTCTTCAAGCAAAACTCGGGCTTCCGCGAGGAAACCAGATTGTGGGATGGATTGTGTTGGGTGAGACGTCTGTCCGCCATCTATCATCAATGCGCTGACGAGTTATCTAGTTGTATCCCTCCTCATGCCTCTCACGTACCGGTTGCAGCCTAACAACCACTACTTGCATCGTCTTATGAGCTTGTTTCTGACCTGTGCTCCGTCGTTTGTAATTCTCACCCTCTCTTACGAAGGTCTTTTTTACGTGACCTTTAGCATTCTGTTGGTTGCATGGGTTAGTCTTGAACACCGCATCTTCGTCTTCGGCGATGTTGCCAGTGAACATCGGCAACCCACATCTAACGGAAGCGCCGCCAAGTCGCAGAGCGTACCACAGCCGGTCTTCAGAGCTCTTACTTTGGCAGACGCACGAGTGGCTTTGTTCTTCTTCGTCCTCCTGCAATCGGCTTTCTTCAGCACAGGCAACGTAGCATCGGTCTCCTCCTTCAGTCTGGATGCTGTGTACCGTCTGATTCCGATATTTGACCCTTTTTCGCAAGGGATACTTCTCATTCTCAAGCTTATGATTCCTTTTGCCCTCATCTCGGCGAACCTCGGAATCCTCAATGCCCGGCTGGGTGTTGCTCCCTCGTCTCTATTCATGGTTGTAATGGCAATCAGCGACGTACTGACCCTATACTTTTTCTGGGTCGTCAAGGACGAAGGCTCATGGTTGGAGATCGGATCCACCATTAGCCACTTTGTCATTGCAAACGTGCTGTGCCTCTTCGTGGCATCATTGGAGGGAGTTAGCGCGCTCTTCATTGGCGACGTCGAAGTGGAGGGTCGTCAGGGGAGACGTGAACAAAAAGAAAATGGGACGGCGAGTTTGGCTTATACCGAGGCTCTTCTGGCTAACGGTCAAGTGTCTCAAGTAACGGTGAGATCGTAGTGATCCGCGGCGTTGATTGGGAAAGGATACATCACGCATATACGACTAGCATAAGTTGCGTAATTGAGGAACTATAGCCTGATATCCATTGCAACGGCATTCTTGTGTGACAAAACAAAATCTGGGGTACGTTGAAGCTGCCGGCTGTTCTGTCATCCCGTGTTACCACCGGATCTCATCTGTGCGTCTCTCACCTGCGTTGTTTCTACGTCGTTGTCCGATTCCGGTCATAATTCCTGCAGCCTCGGCAATTTTGTTGACGCAGTTGGCAAGCGACAAGATCACACTTATGAGAAGTATTGATCGACAGCTACTGGAACGACTTTTGTCTACGTAAGAAAATAAACCGGAACCATTTCCGCAAGTCTCGAGCTGAGCTTGCTTAGGAGGAGGGGGGCCGCTGGGTAAGGCAAGAGCACAAGGTGCCTGGCAACAAAGTGACTCATGACGACGACGAAGGCTCATTGATCTTAGAAGAGGCCGTGCTGGTCTCTGGTAGTCAACGGCCATTGATCTGGAACGAAGGTAAAGGCAGCCTTCATCCTGTGGTGGGCGTGCTTTCTAAGCACCATGCCCTTTTACGTCTGGGAGAATTTGGGAGAATTAGAGCAGGTAAAAACAAGGAAACGTGTCTCTTCGAAGCTACCAACTTCAGATTCGATCCTATGTTGCGGCGAGATGGGAACTGAGGAATGTCGGGGTGCGAGCAGGTGGTCTATCTGAGCCAAAATGACTTGGGTCTAACAGTGCTGTACAGTTGAGTTGACAACATTCAATGATTTCAGTTTGAAGGTTCGGGTTTCATCTCAAGGCTTGACGAAGTGCGTTCAATACTTCTTGCGTACCTACTCTTGCGTACGCTTGTACAAGTAAGCCAGTGGTGATGATGAGACGAGGTGACCTTGCCAAAGTCACGACACCCACCAACGTATTCTGGCTCAATGCATCCCTGAACACCAACAAAACAAAGGAGAAAAAAAAAAAGCAGGTACAGTATGATCCTAGCTCCCGACGGTGAGGAGAGCGCCGGGTCAGATTCGGAGGGCTACTCCAATCTCTATTCATCCCAAGACCAACATCGGCAGATTTCGTGCCACCAGATTTGGGTTCGTGGGGCGGCATCACTAAGCAAAGTCATTATTGACATCTGAAGGCCGTCTGTCGTGAACCAGGTCGTTCCATCCGACAGGTCGACCTTCCCAGTCAACCCTCTCACGGACCTGTGCATTTCTGCCAATTCCCATGCGCAGAGAGCCTTGGGTTTCGGTGCCAGCCATCAACGGGTTGCATCGCGTCCCTTACCCAAATGCGACATGAGCGCGCGCGCGCCTACCCCAAAAAAAGCACACGAGCTGATCAAGAACACACCGGGATGAACTTCAAGGAACAGCTTCACCAGGTGGGCAGTACTCTCCGCATGGTCCGGCACGCTGGGCGTTAAAACAGCCAGGGAAACGTTGTATACCGACGGGAAATACCGGCAAGCCGACCTACGAGCTTCTCGACGAACAGTCGTTGGGAAATGTAGGCCCTTTGAGCCAGCGCAGCAGTCGAGGAAGCAAGGCTTAGTCTCGATCATATGCTTTTCTCGGCAACATCTTGGAACCCCCGGGGAGAATCAGAATCACGTCGAGGCATAGCGTAGTCCTTACCCAAACGGGAAATACATGCGCGGACCAAGCCGTTTCGGAGCATATCCCCGATCCAACGGACCGCGTACAGTACTGCACCTCCCACACCGTTCGATCCCCGATGACCCTTTACCCCAGATAATGCAGATTGCGCCGACTGCAGCCAAGAGGAGCAAGCAGCACATCAAGAAGAAGTAGGAAAGCCGGGAAGGAGTCGAAAGGGTGGGTTCATTCCCATATCTAACATGGATGCATGCATGAGACGGCGATCAGTGGCATGTATTAGATTTCGGGTGACCTGTTCCGCAGTACGGATATTTTGTACTTACAAGAGTGAGAGAGAGAGAGAGAGAGAGAAGACAGGGTCCAGCGTCTATTGGTAATGTTCCCGAGTTCACTTCACGCTTCATGGCGTACACACATCCAATCACAAAACAGACTTACAGTCGGTATGTCTTTCTGCACTACGACCGCATTTTCGCCAGGTCCCGGGTTGCGCAGCGTGGGGAGGTGTCAGAATCCTTCCAGCAGCGCGCGCCGTTGAGAAGTCTCACATGCTTGCCAAGCAGTTCACTTCAAGCATATCTAATTTTTATTTTATTTCCATCCCCATAGACAACGCCATAGGCGAATGTCGGCCAGGCTGGCACACCCATCCACGATCCCATCGCCTCGGCGTCAGCCAGCAATAGCATCGACAATAGGAAGCTAGGCTGCTGGCGGCGGCGTCCAGAGAGGTTGGCATTGGTCATGCAGGGTATGTATGGGTGCGGAGAACCGGGAACGGGGTGTTGAAGGCATGCGTGGTTCCTGAAGCCTCTAGTGTTGGCAACCGTGGCATAATTTGCGAGGCATTGCTGGCATAGGCGACTGGATTTCGAATATATTAACGTTGTCTTGGTCCCATCCACGCCGTGTTGATTAACAAGAAGGCTTGTTGCGCGTACGAACGGATAGACGCAAGACGTAGCACAGCGCTTAAAAGCAACAACATCTACACGTCGGCCCAATACCAATCGTTTGGTCAGCCGACACTCGAGCCACATCTGGAGCCCATTACAGAGAAGGAAGAAAAAAAAAAAAAGAGGAAAAAAAAAAAAGGGAGACCGGACGAAGCTGATTGCCTTTTCCGGGGTATACCAGCGGGCCAGGCTGGTGATGAGCGAGCTCATCAAGCAAGCGGCAAACTGGTCTGCAGGTAGGCGGCAACTGGGTGGGCACAAGCTGATCTTTGGTTCCGATTTCTGATGTCCCGTCATCAGCCGACCTCTAAGCTCTAGACGGCAACTTTGTCCAACTTCTAGACCGTTTGCTACGTAGCGGGCGTAGGACGTGCAAGGCAAGGTTCCCAAGACAAGAGAGGAGGAGCAACAGCAACAGCAGCAGCAGCTGTAGAGTGAGGCAAGAAGCAAGCAAGGCCGAAGACCATCCTGCACGTCAGGGCAAAGGAGCCTCGAGGCAGACTGGCACTCGTTGCCACAAAAGTGTGTCAGGCCAGCCACTGCATGATTGCTTGTTCTCGGCATCGCGGCGCATCGAAGGGAAGACGGGAGGTTGACTTAGGATAAGGTGCCGGGGTCAGCCGATTCTTTCAAGCTTCTATCTTGGGAGTTGCCCATGAATCTGTCTTGAGTTCTGCCCTCTCAATTCGCGTACTTTCTTTGCACAGTTTGCCTCGAACGACCTCGCCTCGTGTTATCAGGTCTCTAGGTCTCCGTTCTCCCGGTACCGTGGATTGGATGGCCGTGCTGCAGTGGCCACTTGCGCCGGACTTCGAAATTAACGGCGAAATCGAGGTTCCGGCCGTGGTGTTCAGCACTGGGCCTGTTGGGCTGGACATCGACTTGGACAGCAAGTCCAATCTTGAAACGGGAGTTATTGACGACATTGACGTCGGGCTCAACAACGCGGCAGTGGACGCGGACGCGGAAGCGGAAGCAGAACCAGGCCAGGGTGCTGACACGGCCGAATCCTGGCTTCTGACAGAGACGACGACTTACAGCAGCGGCGACGGCGGCGGCTTGGACGAAGCCCAGCTGCAGCGACACCAGCGGCAGCGTCGACAGCAGCGGCAGCGTCGACAGCAGCAGCAGCAGCAGCAGCAGCAGCAGCAGCAGCAGCAACAACAGCAACAACACGAGGCCGCTCCGGCGCCAGCAGCAAGCAGAGAAGGCAAGCACAGCGGTGCTGCGCCATCTTCTCCCGCACTCGCACCTGCAACTCCTGCGCCTGCGCCTGCACTTGCACTTGCACCTGCGCTTTTCCCTCCGTCATCGTCTCCTTCTCCTGCGTCGGCGCCGCCTGCACGTACGCCTGCACCTGCACCTGCACTCGCACCCCTGCCTGTATCCTTTTACAAGTACGCTGCTGCTTCTGCAGTCGCCGTTGCGCCTCCTCTTCCCCACCCCGCGCTTGTGTTTGCGCCTGAGCCGGACCAGGACAAGCACAAAGACAAAACCAAAGACCAAAACGACAACGACAACGACAACGGCAGCGCTGATCCCTCGGCGGTAGACCCACTCGTCTCCTTATTACAACTGGACCCTTTGATAAGCGCTGCTCCTGTTGGTCTTGCTGGGTCGTCGTCGGCAGCCTGGCACATTCCGAACCCCAACTCAGATCCCAGCACCAGCACCAGCACCAGTTCCTGTTCCATCCACCCAGAAGAAACAGCTTTGCCTGCACCCCCCCTCCATTCGCATCCGCACCCGCACCCGCACCCGCATCTGCTGCACCACCACAACCAGTCCCGGCTGTACCAAAACCAACTGCGCCAGCACCATCCAGGTCTGCTCCAGAACCATCTCCCGCAACGTCCACGCCATTACGCCCACCAGCTCCAACTCCAGAACCACCACTACCCGTACCCAGCTCAACACCATTACCATCGCCCACCACAACCACTCCCCGTTCACGTCCAGCACCGCCAGTCATCCCAGCTCCAGCCCCAGCCCCAATCCCAGTTCAAGTTCCAGCACCAGGCCCTCGAGGCCCTCCGACGTCCGTCTACGCCGACACACCCAGTGCCTCTGCTCCAACCTGCAGACCCTGCTGCGCCTGGGCCACTGCAGTTGCCAGGCCCAGTGCCAGAAGCAGAGCGAGCGGCGCTGCTGCCACTCCTATTCCCTCCCGGGCCTCCAGCTCCAGCTCCAGCATCCGCCTTTGCTCCTATTACTAGTCGACCAGCGAAATTCGTCGACGAACTTCTTCGCAACTCTCCCGACCCCGTCGCATCGCCCGCCAACAGGTCGCCAGACCAAGACGAGTCAATCATGGACGTCGACATGTCCTCCGCAGACCTTGCGGCCCAAAATCTTCAACGGCCGCAGCAGTCAACCCCCCAGAAGTCCGACTC